GCCATCGCCCGGTAGTGAGCAAGATGGTAAACATCCTCTCGGGTTACAACTCGGCCGGTTGCAGCCGAAGTAAAAAGAGTAGTCCAAGTGGGGGGGGCCACCCGAAGGGTGAACTTGTTGGCTCCAGTTTTATAAATTCGACATCCAAGAGGTACTCCAGGGGTATACCCCACCGACAGTCGGTGAAACTCTGCAATAAAGTCGGCCGGTTTAATTTGTTGTTGACCTAGGATTGGAGTAAGTGGCGCTCCCGGACGGGCTTCACCAGCGGGGGCGGTTAACCGGGTTAAGCCCATGGACCAAGATGTACTACAATCCAGATCCAGATTTTGTAGGCGCCCCCCACGTTGGGCGAAAGTTATCGTCGTACGGATATTGCAAACACACTAAAACAAACAGGTTAACCCACGTCCAACAAGTAACCCATGTAACACGTTGGTTCCAAGTTCTTCGGTCGATCTCGTGAAGAGTAGCAAACATGTAAATCGAGCTAACTAGAAACCAACTCAAAAAGAGTGCTGCCGCTAGTAAGCGCACTTCGTTAACAGGAAATTCCAAAGCCACAGCTGCGATAGCAAGCTCAAGAACAATCCAAGAAAGCCACCGTCGAGGAAGAAATGTCGGATCGATACGGTTTGGTCGAGGTTTTCTAGAAGGCATTAAATAGGTTATTTTAAAAAACAAATTCGTTGGGGACTCACCGTGCGAACTGCACACCAAAGAGGGGAGTTGAACCCCTATCGACGGTTTTGGAGACCGTTGTTCTACCTTTGAACTACTTTACTAGAAGAAAAAAACCTCACGCTTTACAGAAGGGTATCACACACCACTCGCATTAGGGTGGTGTCCACGTCGGCGGCCCCCATCTGGGTTAGCAGCCCCCGCCAGAAAGGTCGGCCAGTTACCTCTCGTAGGTAACGTTCTACCCCGCCTACCTCGGCCACTGGATATCCGTCAAAATATCCATTAGTTCCNGTTAAGCCCATGGACCAAGATGTACTACAATCCAGATCCAGATTTTGTAGGCGCCCCCCCACGTTGGGCGAAAGTTATCGTCGTACGGATATTGCAAACACACTAAAACAAACAGGTTAACCCACGTCCAACAAGTAACCCATGTAACACGTTGGTTCCAAGTTCTTCGGTCGATCTCGTGAAGAGTAGCAAACATGTAAATCGAGCTAACTAGAAACCAACTCAAAAAGAGTGCTGCCGCTAGTAAGCGCACTTCGTTAACAGGAAATTCCAAAGCCACAGCTGCGATAGCAAGCTCAAGAACAATCCAAGAAAGCCACCGTCGAGGAAGAAATGTCGGATCGATACGTTTTGGTCGAGGTTTTCTAGAAGGCATTAAATAGGTTATTTTAAAAACAAATTCGTTGGGGACTCACCGTGCGAACTGCACACCAAAGAGGGGAGTTGAACCCCTATCGACGGTTTTGGAGACCGTTGTTCTACCTTTGAACTACTTTACTAGAAGAAAAAAACCTCACGCTTTACAGAAGGGTATCACACACCACTCGCATTAGGGTGGTGTCCACGTCGGCGGCCCCCATCTGGGTTAGCAGCCCCCGCCAGAAAGGTCGGCCAGTTACCTCTCGTAGGTAACGTTCTCCCCCGCCTACCTCGGCCACTGGATATCCGTCAAAATATCCATTAGTTCCAGCAAAAATGGTTACCATTTGATCGGCTACAGGCAGCGGCTGATACTGAGGTTGCTTTAACATCTCGGTCAAGCGCACCCCTCGGTTTAGTAGCCGGGTAGTTGACTCATCAAGGTCCGATCCAAACTGGCTGAACGCCGCAATCTCACGATATTGGGCTAGATCTAGCTTCAATGATCCTGAAACCCGTTTCATCGATTTTACCTGGGCGGCAGATCCCACCCGGCTAACTGAAAGACCCGGGTTAATTGCAGGGCGAATTNATCTCGTGAAGAGTAGCAAACATGTAAATCGAGCTAACTAGAAACCAACTCAAAAAGAGTGCTGCCGCTAGTAAGCGCACTTCGTTAACAGGAAATTCCAAAGCCACAGCTGCGATAGCAAGCTCAAGAACAATCCAAGAAAGCCACCGTCGAGGAAGAAATGTCGGATCGATACGTTTTGGTCGAGGTTTTCTAGAAGGCATTAAATAGGTTATTTTAAAAAACAAATTCGTTGGGGACTCACCGTGCGAACTGCACACCAAAGAGGGGAGTTGAACCCCTATCGACGGTTTTGGAGACCGTTGTTCTACCTTTGAACTACTTTACTAGAAGAAAAAAACCTCACGCTTTACAGAAGGGTATCACACACCACTCGCATTAGGGTGGTGTCCACGTCGGCGGCCCCCATCTGGGTTAGCAGCCCCGCCAGAAAGGTCGGCCAGTTACCTCTCGTAGGTAACGTTCTACCCCGCCTACCTCGGCCACTGGATATCCGTCAAAATATCCATTAGTTCCAGCAAAAATGGTTACCATTTGATCGGCTACAGGCAGCGGCTGATACTGAGGTTGCTTTAACATCTCGGTCAAGCGCACCCCTCGGTTTAGTAGCCGGGTAGTTGACTCATCAAGGTCCGATCCAAACTGGCTGAACGCCGCAATCTCACGATATTGGGCTAGATCTAGCTTCAATGATCCTGAAACCCGTTTCATCGATTTTACCTGGGCGGCAGATCCCACCCGGCTAACTGAAAGACCCGGGTTAATTGCAGGGCGAATTCCTCGGTAGAAGATCTCGGGTTCAAGAAAAACCTGACCGTCAGTAATCGAGATTACGTTGGTTGGAATGTAAGCGGAAACGTCCCCGGCTTGGGTTTCTACCACGGGTAACGCAGTAAGCGACCCAGCTC